TGTTGTTTTTTGTGTCTGTGGTGTTGGAAGTAACGTCTTTCTTGTTGTTTGTGTTGGTTCATTCCAAGTTTTGTGATAACTTGTTTGTTTTGAATTTCGCGCAAAGCTACACGAGGGCTATCTGCGCTAACCGTCCCTTATTTAGCAGCGTAAGACTAGGGTGAAGGCAACTAGTCATCACCGCCAACTCTTTTACCAACGAATAGTGGGATTGACCGTCATTAGATTCGCGGTTGTCAAAAGCACAATGTACTAAATATAAATATAACAGAGCTACAGATAAGTAATAAAAAAGTAAAGCTGGTACATTTAGACAAGGATCTATCGGACCAGAACGACAACATTCCAAAAATAGGGACTGCCCCATCCAAACTAAGAAACGGAATAATATTAACAGTTATACATTAGAAACTTGATAACATTACACAGACTATCAAGATTCTCATAACTATTCAAACTTCATATCAATAACACACACTCCCGTACTGAGGATATTCACTCATTTATTTTCGAAACAAGAGGCCCCTTAACACTACAGACACATCTAAACGTACAGTAATAAATTTAAGTACACGAACACTGTCACAACCTGAAGAAAGTGTACTAAGTAAAAAGACTAAATTTCACCTGAACACATACAGTACCTACTTACGGCTACTTTACATATAGTTACAACCATAGAAGACACAAGCATATAGCCTACCAGAAAAAGAATTCAGAATCAAAATAAAGACAGCAGTCTTGAATCCAAACCTTTCTACACTGGGGGAGGGGATTCAATTTCGACAAAATGGAAAATACTGTACTTCAGGGGGAATTATCCAGTACATCCCCTGAATTCAACACTAAAACTACGAAATTTAAGCCCCACTATAATACTATCCTAACAGGAAAAAGCCATCCTCAAGAACTTAAAAGACACCATAACAATCCTACCAACTTATAAATGTAATGATGAACAAAAATATAAAACACCAGAAAGAACTTGGAACAGGTACAATCAAACACCTAAGCTTCACTTCACACATTTACATCCTACTTAAAATCACTAGCAAAGCTGTATTCCCCTCCATTCCATAATTAACTATTGTGATTTTCCCATTGCTAGATTTATTGTAATGTCACCATATACAGGTAAAGCATCCTTGCATGTTAAGAACTCGATTCACTCTGTAAAGATTATATAAACAACTATGATAACCTCACAGGACACATTAATCAGCTTTGAAGTATCCAACCTGAACAAATACATCTGTTTTGCTATCAAGAAACCCAGGATCAAATGCCAGCTATTACTACACAGCCATAACGTATGATATAAAAGTTTATTTAGTAATAACAATAATAATAAGTGATTAGATTTAGGCTATGTTACAACCTACTAATGACAACAATGAGATCTATCACTTGCTCCCCATATAACTGATTAAGATGAATAATATAAAAATACCTAGTCATTATGATTTTCAAAACTTTTGTTAGTGCAAATATACCTCTATGTATTGCTAGAGCTTAGGAAATTGTAGCTGTAAGCTACTAATATTGTCTATAAAAAAAAATTGACAGACCTTTAGAAATTCATGATAAAAATAATCCTAGATTTTGTTTTTCAAATTTATCTCAGTTGGGCTCTATGTATTTAACATCAGAAGTGCATAAAAATGACATTTTTGGTATATATTTAGTAGTTAATATAAATCATGATTTTTGTGTGAATACTAGGAAGAATCCTAACTCTACACCATGTTAACTTTGGAGAGAGAGAGAGAGAGAATTAAATTTCGGAGAAACAATAACATTTTGAAGAACTCAAATGGAAGACATTTATAATCTAGATGCTCAGGATTATTTTAACTTGGAATTTGGGGTATGGCAAGATCAGGTACCTTAAGTTTCATGTCCGATATTTGAGAAGTACAAAAGCCAAAAAGAAATCACATCTAGAGCAAACTTGTCACTTAATGTTTGAGCTTACAGGAGAGATTTTGTCACCAAAACACCCTTTCAACATAGCTACCCATTTCAGCTTCTTGACCATCATATCAAATATGTAAAAGATCCCCTTTTCTCCCATTGGTTGCACTTCAATGCTGTGATCCAACATGTCTTACTCCTAGATACATTATATGAAATAATTACAACACGTTGATTATCATAGTTAGGCTTAGTTGTAGATGTTGTAATCCAGAGGATGAAGAAATACATGCAAATAAATTTGAATTATTTTAACTAATAATAAGTTGTTTGATTTCAGACAGTACAATTTAAAAAAGTAGCTTTACCTTAGATATCACAAAGTAGAAAACAGAAAGAAAGTGAAACCATTTCTTTTTTTCATTTGCTTTATTCAGAAATACAGTCCTTGATAAGAAACAAACTTAACAGAACATATACAAGCAGAATAAGACTTAATAACCATATGTTTCATCTGCTTTACTCGAAGAATAATTGATCATGATCCCAGATAGTAGGTCCTTTACTTTATACAAAACATTTTTCTTAGATGTTGATACATTCCAAATGTCAAACAAAATTTTCTGCTAGAAATTACATCATTTATGTTAAAACATTCACATACTTTTACCTTTTACTTTCATTATAATAGTATTATGTCTGTCTTTAAAATTCATCTATAATTTTACACCTATTACTAATTAGTTTTATACACTTTATAATCTATACAAATAAAGAAATTTTTAGGTGATTCTTCACTTTATTTGCTGTATATGTATATGGATCAAGCATAAATAAAACATGCTTATCATGAAGATGTAGTTACAACTAAAGATTCTTTTGCTAAATCTGTGAAGTTAAAGTGTGCAGAATTACCACAAAATTTTATTTCATAATAAACATTTCATTCTTCAAATACATATAAAATTTCAAAACAACACTATTGACAAGAAATAGAATTAATACTTTCATATTTCGGCTTTATAAGTTCTTTTATTTGTTCTGTAAATAACAAATGGTTCAAGTTTGTTTAAAAATAAACTGCTCAAACACTGCATTGGAAGTTCTTACCTTTAAAATGGATATGATTAGTTCATTCATTCATCTAAATATGTAGTCAACTGATTCCAAGCTGTTTTTAAAAAGTATTTTTATTTGATACACATAGTGCTTGATGCAAGGTTAGAGATATCCCCCAATAAGCAAGCCCAATTGATTGGTATGCCAGTCAAAATATAATTTTTACATTTAAAAAGAATTACAAAAAAGGAGTAACAGACCAGAATAATTGGAATGAACTGTAAAAAAAATGGAACTCTTCTTTATAAACAGTAATTAGTGCCATGTAATTTAAGAGCTTTATTCTGACTTAATATTTTGAAAATAAAAACAACTGACTTTATCCCATTAAGAATAAAAATAAAAGTGCTAATAGATAATAACTGTTTTTTTAATCAAACCTAAACTTGGATCTACTTTAAAATAAATTATCAGCATGATATGATACACCAACTCCAAAAGGAAATATTAAAACTGTTGATCATACCGAACACAAAAGTTCTTTCTGTTTTATGATTTCCAAAATTGTAAGACATATTTTACAAGAAACAATCTTCATTTAACTTCTAATTAATGTACGTGTAACTAATAGGTAAATTAAGAACACAAAGATTTAAAAACAATTTTTTCTCATTAAAAATACTAAAATCAAAGATCTTAAATTAGTTCTAAACTCTTTCTCATAATTTAACCCAGCACGTAAGCTTTCTCTAGCAAGAATGTGTTATATGAAACTCACAAAAACCACCAATGAAAATATACTGACACAATCTTCTGTACATACTGTTTAATTAAAACCTTTTATGCTGTGACAAAACTTTTCTACTATAAAATCAAATTTAAATGAAATGTTCACTGTAATCAAGTTGACATAAATTGATTGATTATTATTTACAGCTCAAAAATTAAACAGACATGAGGATTTTTTTAAACATGGAAACAAGTTTTAAAACCCACATAATCCGAATGAAAAGCAAATAAATTTTTATTCTGACAGAGTAACTACATATATTAAGATAAAGGAAAGTGTTTTACAATATAAAACCCTAATTGTGAAATAATAATTTTGGGATATAAAATAAGAAGATTTTGATAAATCAGCATTTACTTATGAGCTTTTTGTTCAACTGTTTAAAGTAAATTATGCAAATTGTAAATTTTAGCAATCATCTGTTTTATACAGAAATTCACAGAAGTGTTTGAATTTTTTTTAAGATTGAACTTTATTAATTTGCCTTCAATAATAGAAACACATATTTACTATCTTAAACAATTATCGTACTTGCTGGGCAAATTTCTTTGCTTATAAGAAATTTCAAAATCTAACCCTAGATTATGAATTGCAATAGTGTAATGAATTATTAGCAGATACACACGACACAAAAAATATATAAAAAGGTTTGATATTTTTTAATGTATTTTATGTAATAACAAGTAAATGTTAAGGTTTTGTTTCATTTGAAAAATCAAGTGTTGCATAACTCAAATTTAAAACTATTTCTCCAACCATCTTGTGATCCAAGTTTAATATTAGGATTCTTTATGAGTAGCAAATCATATAGTTAAGAATAATTTGCAAAAAAGGGTTAATATGGAAAATTTAATATTTTATTCTAAACTTGGCAAATAGAGAGGCTTAGTTTGTTGAAAGGCTTCCTTTCCAATTAACAAGTTGTAATGTTCTCTTATATTACTAGCACAAAACAACCATGATTCTCACAGTTCACATTTAAGGTGAGAAAAAAAACAACAAATGTTTAGTTATAACAAAGTGTATGTTTGTCTAAGTATGGTTCTAATTTCTTTAGTTTTAATAATGAAAAAAAAGGCCACTAATCATTTTTTTTTTTAAATGACACAAAAAGCTGTAAGTAAAATAACAGACAAAATATCAAATATCTCAACTGACATACTTCTGAAAGACTGTCACATTTATTTGGCTTGTTTCGCAAACTGGAATGATTGAATTATGCACTAAGAAGCAAATCTTAGAACAATAAAGATTTCTTTTGTTAGTGTCTTATGTAGGTTGATTTTAAACTACTAATCTATTTAACATTAAAGCTTCAGTTTTAAGAACATGTTTGCAACCTTATGGCCAAATTAAATGCTTAATGCCCTCATCTACAACTATAATATTTAGCTACTTTATAACATTTTTTAAATTTATGATAAAATGACAGTCAGGATATTTTTATATTATTAATTATTGTTTTAAAATATTCTGGCAAAATGAGATTAATTTTTAAATTTTCCAACTATTCAATCTCTGACATTATTTTCCTTGGTATTCAGATTGCCTAGAAGTTTTTTAAATTAAACTACTTAATAATATTACAACACATGTACATATTCACAATGTTTACATAAAATGCCCAACTGAAACTAAAGAATATAATTTTTAATATTTACATTATATACCATATTTACTTATCTATGCTATTAAAAACAAAAACAACATATCTTTCCAGTGGTATAAAATACCTAAGCTATTTGTGCATTTAGGCATATTTGGCTTAAAATTTATTTTAGTTTATGTAATTGACAAAACAGTTTTATTTCTTTCACCTCTGAAATTAGTACTGAAACTACACAACAGTTATTCATTTACTTAATATTGAAAACTTCACAGCAGTTATTATCCTTTGTCTAAAACTTTCTCCCAAAAACAGAAAAAACAAAGACATCCTCTAAACTAAAATATAAAAATATGTTTACTTCATTAATTACAAAATATCTCCTGTGACTGTCACTGATTTTTTATGGTTTAGTTATGTTTTTAGAAAATTAAAATACTTAACTGTATTTTAAACTATGTAAAATGTTTTTTTTCTTTAAACAAAACATTGCTTTAATACAGAAAGATGTACTTCAAGAACTTATCCTGGTTAGGAATAGCTGGCTATACAAAAAAATAGTACTATAGTAGCTTTCATAATATCAAAAACTTTGTACAGATCACAGTCATGTAAAGTAGTCTGATAATTGAAACTAAAATTATTAGTCTAAACTGATAAGAAAAAGCAGTAGCTTAAAAGTCAATTGTATAAGATTATAGATAGAAAGGTACTGTATCTTTTGTTTTATAACTTGTTTTCAAGAGTCCTGAACATTTACATCTAAGTAACTGCATAGAAGAAAATAAAATAAAAATCTAAAACTTAAGTTACTATTGTAATAATTCTAAATGGTAAAACAATGTATTTAAAATACCTACTAAGTAGTTTTGTTGTAGAATTAGAATCCTAAAGCAGAACTAATGAAATACTAACTGAAAGAATAGCTTTATTACAGCCAAAATATAAATGTGGAAGATTTTGCATGGTTAACAGTCATCTTGTGACTTACAATATATCCTGGGATTATTATTAAAGATTTTATTGAGACATTGTCTGTCTGATTATAAACACAATAACAATAATTTTACCCACAAAATACTGGTATGTTGAAAAAATAATTATAGGAATCTAAGTGCACCAAAGTGAAAAATACATGTTATTTATTAAGTTCACAAAATAATGCAGAATAACTCACGTTTACTTGACTTCACTCTTACTTTGAGTAAAAATACCAATTAAGAATGTTAACCTTAATTTAGGCAAACTTGTTAAACAAATCTTAATAACAAGGTACAAAAATCCAATAGTTCAACTTAACCCAAGAAATTATTAGATAATTTTCTGAAGATACAGTGATAAAAAGTAAACATTCTTAATTTAAGATAAATGATACCATAGAGCAAGTTACACAATAAAACTTTCACATACATCATTTCTGTTTAAAAGGTTGTCAGGAACATTTTAATCCAAATTACTTAACAGATACCTAAACGTAGATGACTTTCTTTTAACACACAACTACGAAATACTTGTGACGTATCCGAGTTACTTTTATAAGTTTATTTAACCAACTCATTCCAGTAATTTTTGAAAAACTTACTTTACTTCATAAACAATATTCACGTGAGTGACGAATCTTAATGCTATATGAGTGTCAACAAGAAAGTTCATAATAAACAAATTTATAGTTAACAGTAGTTTTGCATTTCAAAATGTAAACTTGCTAGCTTATGGGACAGCTGAAAAAAGAAAAATATTAATTTTTGGGTTTTCTCCATAAAGTCAGTAGCACCAGTATTTATTTTCAATAAAAATCTACTCACAGAATTAAAAAAAAGAAAGAGAAAGTCATCTCCACAATATTCTTCCTTCTACAAAATCTTGCCAAAAAACTAAAAAGTAATAATCCTGGAATTATTGTAATTTGTCATTTATAAAGGTGCTACATCATTCATATTACTATTTCTTGTAGTTTGTCATTGTGAGTATGTATAACAGATAAATTGTTAAACCCTATCAATGCTATGTGCATAATACCAAATCAAGGAAACATGTCCAAGAATTACAGTTTTACTGTTGAAAGTTAAGAAATTTGTAACCTAAACGTTTTTTCAGTTTTAAAATCTTTTGTGAACTTTATCAGGACAACAGACTGCAAAGTTTCTACAACTTAATAAGATTCCAAAAGTGTCTTAACTGAGAGAACAAGATATTAGTTAGAAGGCTTTGTAAACCATTAGAAAAACTTGAGCAAATTAAAGCCATAAGAAATATGAAAAACTATTCCCCTAAATAAGTAAAATATATATATTGAAGTAAAACCTAAAATAGTTTGAAATTTATACAAGCTTTTTAATGTAATTTATTAGTACTAATCATTCATTATGAATAAAAGCGTTGGCAAGTTACACACTGCAGGTGTGTGAATATATATATATTATATATGTTACTGTGATAGTGCTATATTAGGTTATTGGTCTGTAATGATAAAATTTTATAATAACTTGTTTGCGAACTTCTCCAAACAACACTGAAATAATGATACTTATGAAAGTGAACAACCTACTATTCAAAAGTTAGTATTGTAAACATGTTATTTATAACATATATTAACTAATTACAAACTAAAATTTCATTTTAATACACCAATATATTTTGAAGAAAAAAACATTCAAAGGTGTTATTTTATGATAAATTAGAAAAGAGGTACATTTGTTAATGTATGAAACTACAGAAGGCTGAAAAATGAAGCGTGCCTAAAGCAACATTTTCTGACACAACAATTTTGTTGTTAAAACTATCCAAATTAACTTCTAGACACTTAGGACACAAGAATCGTACATTACTACTATTTAGTTACATATACTATTTTACTATTATTTAAACACTTTTATGCATAAATTTCACTTTGTCTGAAAATAATGTCAAATTTGTTGTTTAGCTTAAATTAAGGCCTATATTCATTATGTATTTTTCCAATATACTCTTCTTTTAAGTTTGGATTTGCAAACTTTGTATAAAAATATTGAGACCATCACACTGGTGAATATTTGAAATTTGTGTTTAAGGAATAATAACATGTTATTTGGAAATTGGCAATAAAAACATCACATGCAATTCATACTGCAGGGACATTTCACTGATGTCAAAGCTTTTCAATAAAACATACTAAACATGATGTAACCAATCACACAGAAAATGGTAAAATTTCAGATGCTACATAAGGGATATGTCTTGCATCTAGTTGTTTGAACAAAGCAGTTTCTTATTTCGTTCATGTAATTAGTCATCACTGTCACTCCCAGATTCACTAAGCTGCAGGTCTTCACCTGAAATAAGGAAGGTTAACTAAATATATATATACGTATATTTTATTATAAGAGATAAAATGGAAATTCAGAATAAAGTATGAATCTCATGCACATACTTGTGTGACCAAGAATATCATGAGGTAAAGAGTGCTGAAAAAAGCTTATGATCCTGTAATAAAATTTTATAATATGAAAGTGAAAAGGTGAAACAAATGTAAAATGTTATTGTGCACCAGCTTATAACATTTTAAAAGTAAAATGCACGCAGTTTTTTAGTTACCATATATATAAAAAGAGAACAAAAAGCATACAAGTTTAACAGTAAGATTAACTATCATGATGCCTGTTGAATTGTAGAACTAATAATATATATATATATATATATATATATACTGTCCCAAACCTTACTAAGTTAAA